TGGTTCAGATCCCCAAACTGGCCAGCTGGCACAAAAAAAAAAAAAAAGATGACCAGTAAGGGTATCTTAACCCTTGACTTGGTGTTGTCAGCACCACGGTAACCGGCCATCCCTATGTAGGGATCCAAACCCGTGGCCTTGGTGTTATCAGCACCACATTCTCCCAAATGAGCCACGGGCCGGCCCCAGGGCAAAAGTTTTTAATTTCGGTGAATTCCAATTTGTCAAACTTCTCTTTAATGGATTGTGTTTTTGGTGTCAAGTGTAAGAAAAATTTGGCAAGCCCTAGATCCTAAAGATTTTCCTTTTTTTAAATAAAAGTTTTATAGTTTTATGTTTACATTTAAATTTTGAGTTAATCTGATCTGTTTTGAGTTAATTTTTGTATAAGACTTAGGTCAAGATTCTTTTTTTTTTCCTGGCATGCAAATGTCAGAGCCCGAATTTCCCAGTCTCTCTTCTTCAATTCTTATTTACTTTTATTTATTTATTCAAATATTCATTGCAGGCCCTACTCAGTGCCCTGGACTGTGAGAGCTCCTGGGGACCCACAGGTGAGTGAGCGGGCCACACCTGCCCTGCATCCCCAAGTTTACCATTCAGAGGCTGAATGGGCCCTGACCCTGGCCACTCCCGGACCCCTCCCAGAAGCAGCCTCTGGATCTGGGTGTCCACATCAGGGCCCACAGAGTAGCCACAAGGAACAGAGCCACCCCAGGACCATGGCAGGGTGTGAAGTCAGGGTGCTGGGACGCTATCCGCTTGGCTATCCCCAAGACACCACGGGTGGGCAGTGGCCCCACCAACATGACCCACATTTATACTTATAACATTGAAATGAGAATGTCTGGGATATATTGGTTTACAGGAAGTAGAAGGGTGGTTATGAGGGGCTGGGAGGAGGCAGAAGTGGGCAGTTAGTGTTTAATGCGCATGTAGTTTTGTTTGAAAATTCTGCAGCTGGACGATGGTCATGGTTGCACAATAGTGTAAATGTAGATAATGCCACTGAGTTGTACACTCAAAAATGGTCAAAATGGTAAATTTTGTGTTGTGTATTTTACCACAATAAAAAAAGAAAAAACCCTTATCCACAAAAGATTTCAGACAAAAACCTCTCGAGTCGGGAAGAGGTACCTCATTGCACATTTAATAGTTCATGCATTATCAGAGCAGAGATAAATAGGCGCAGGGCTTACAGGTCCACAGAGACATCCACAGGCAAAGGCAGGACAAGGTGGCACGGCCAGGGCTGGACTAAGGAGGGGGCATTTGTTACCATCAGTGGGGGAGAGTCTGCAACATGTCACCTCAGACCAAGGACAACCTCCCCTGGACGTGCATAGCAGGAGCGAAATTAGGTTAACTGCATTATTTCATTTGTATTCCAGGTCACCCAGAAGCTACTGTGACACTCTCTGTACTCACCCGAACCCCTTCAGGCCAGGCTAGCTCATGGTATCATCATTGGATTGAAGGTATATTTGGGGGGACAAGTCAATCGATGATTTAGGGTGTGGGGCCCAAGGTTGGTTTGACATATATTTTTTCCCTTACATCAGAATAGAGGCTTGGATAATGAATTGTGCATGTTTCCTGGAGGCTGGGCATATCTGTTGGAGAATGATTCAAAGGGGATTCTGGTCCTTACAACTTTATCCAGAATGTGTTTTAGAAATCCGCCCCTCCCTTGCAAAGTCTCCAAGAAGCTACTGACGTTGTCTGAGGTTCCCCTGACTCCGAGAGAACAGTGACCCAGAACAGTGCTCACTGAATCTTGGAAAGTCCCCAACTCAAATATGTTTCCTTCCTGTTCTGGGCGTCTGCCCAGTGAGGGACCCACGGACTCTGCCAATTGCCCCTGAGTGTCTGGTCAGTGCGCCCAACCCACCTTGAGGTGGACCTTCCAAAAACGGTGAGGACAAGCCACTGAAATCATGCCAGCTCCTCCCAACATCCCATGCAAGCACGGGCCCCCCTGGGGGGGCGTCTATCTTTGGCCAAATGGTAGGACCCCAAGGCAGGACCATGACCATCTCCTGTCCAGCTAGAGGCAGGGACCAACCTAATAACCCAGAGGCCCTCAGACCCAGCATCCTCAGTCCTCAACAGGCCCCTCTGAGAGGGGGTGTGTGGCAGGCACGGAGCAGAGTGCACACTTCAGGGAGGGGCTGCGACCCTCTTTCTTCAGCCTCAACTTCTTGCTTTCAGCCTGAGTGTCCTTTTGGGGACATTCCCCTGGGGCACAATCTATCCCATACTTAAACCTAGCTCTGGTGAACCTGACATCACAGGGTCTGCAGGGCCCCAGGGGTGACGTCCTGACCCCGTTCTGGGGAGGAGAGCTACAATGGTGGCCGCAGCCCCTCATCCTCCTAGGGGATAAGGGTCTCCCCAGAAGACTTGGGAAGGTTAGAATGAGTCCCAAAGGACAAGGCCACAGAGGCTGATGGGGAGGGAGGTGTGTGGGAAGGAGCTCAGTCTGTCCCTTCCTTGGCCTTGGGATGCATTTCGTTGGCTTGCCCTTTGTTTTTGAAATGCACAAAGTGATTATTTATTCCAAAAAGTGAGTCCAGAGGAAGGGGGCAGTCCCCACACCACCGGGACGCCAGCCCACCTGGCCTGCCACCTCCCCGCCCGCCGCCAACGCCCCAGACACAGACGAGCAGGTCACGGCCACCACACAGGAAGGCCGGGCTGCAGCGGGCCGCGGCTCAGACGGTCAGGGAGATGAAGCTGTTGTAGCGCTGGATGTTCCTCTTGAGGATCTCGGAGCAGGGGCCCAGCACGCGCTCGAAGCGGGGCCGGTCCAGCTTGACACACTTGAGCGGTCCTCGAGCCACCACAGTGGCCGCACGGGGCCGGTTCAGCAGCAGCGCGATCTCCCCTGGGAGGTCAAGAGAGAGAGGTCAGAGCCTGGCTCCAGGGGCCGGAGGCTGTGGCAGGACAGATTTGTCCAGGGCCCCCTGAAAAGTGCTCTCCTTCCCCTAAAGCCAGGGCTGCTGGATTTAGGAAAAAGAACAGCAGCAAACACCAAGATGCCAGGTGAACTTGAATTCCAAATAAATCAAAATACATATATATATATATATATATATATATATATATATATATGTATGTATGTAGGTATGTATATATTTAAATATAAGGAAGGCTCATGAGATATTTGGGATATACTAACAAATTATTCATTGCTTATCTGAAATTCAAATTTATCTGGGCATTGTCCTGCATTTTTGTCAGGTAACCCTACATGCAACAGGCACTGTGCTGTGTGCACAGGCCTCCCTCAGGACCCAGCCCCTCAGCTGTGGAAATGCTGGCAGCCGATGGCTCCGCTGCTCCCTCCCCCAAGGTCACATCCTTTCTGGAGCAGCCCCACGTCAGGCCCTGGGATCTCAGTTTCAGGTGACACCGGCTGAGGCCTCTGTTTCAGCCACACTGTGGCTCAGCCTGTCTCCCCACAGGGTCCATCCTGAGAGTCCCCAGGAAACCCCCCACGCAGCTCCCCACCTCGGGGGCCCTTTCTGAGACTCTGAATGAGACAGCTTGAGGGAGGGGACGCCTGACTCACCGAAGTAGTCGGAGGGCCCGAGGCGGCCCACCTCCACGTACTCCTCGTTGGGGGATCGGCGCTGCAGGACGGATGCTGTGCCCTGTGGAGGCCGAGGGGACACATGAGAGCTGGCCAGGCCAGGGCCTGCAGGGTCAGGGGGTCACCCAAAGAGGAAGTCACAAAATGAGAGGTCACCCAGCGAGGGGTCATGCAGTGGGGGATTCATGAAGAGGGAGGGTCAGACGTGGGGGTCAGAGGGGTTGCTGCCTGAATTCCTGCCTCCGGCTAGCTCCTTTCCTTTGTGCTGCTGCCACCAATTCTAAACTCAATTCCACTGGTTTTTCCTCTGTGGGCACATATATGGCCACGGGATCTGAGCGCCATGTGTGACATGGCCAGGCCAGATGCACCTTCCCAGAGACCACCATCCTGTCCTGGCCCCCATTTTTGTTTAGATACACAGACGGCTCCTCCCAACTCACCAAGCATCCAGTGCATTTCTGGGGGTGGGCGGCAATGCTGCAGGTAGGAAACTCTGGGGATGTTTCCCGAGGGGTCAGTATCTTTGTCACGGGCTGCCAGCATTTTAAACTGACCTTGGGTTAACTCTCAAGGACTGGGAGTATGTCTAGTCACACCAGGGTCTCCCCAGGGACAGGGGAGCATGGTCTCAGGGTCACATACCCACTAAGCACCCTGCTGACCCCCCAAACAAGGGAGCAGGTGGGGGTCTCCAGACGTGCCAGCTCAATGATTAACACAGAGGCTGTGGGCAGAATATCACAGGGCCATGCTGGGGAATGCGTTACACATGACAGATTCAGCCTTCGGATGGCGGGACCCAGAGCCAAGGGCAGCCTGGGTGGCTGAACGTTCCTCACACTCTACTCGTCCCCTTAGGAGGCCCTGGGTGTGGGAAACCATGGCCTATTATGGAGAGGTTATGGGCTTGGGCATGAGTGTGGGTTCTGACCCCAGACCCCGCCTTGGCTGCTGTGTAACTTTGGGCCAGTCCTTTTCCCACCTGAAACTATTTCCCCACCCGTAACCTAGGAATCAGCCTGTCTGCACTGCATAGGACTGTCGTGAAGATTAAAAGAGAAACTTTCTACAAGCAACCCAGTAAAAAGAGTCATTTTTTAACACCAAACACCTCCAGCAGGTGTTAACAAACAAGTCAATCCACAGCTCAAACAAAGGCTTCCGAATTTAACTCCGAGCCTCACCCACACTGTCCAGTCCCCAGTCCCCGGAGGAAGGGCCCTTTATCAACCACAAAACCACGCAAGTGTGGGTGCTGTCACCATCCCATTTTATAGCTGAGGAGTCTGAGGCCCAGGGAGGTTGAGGCGCCTACAGCCTGACCCTCCAGGGTTCTGTTGTCCACGTTATTTGGGTTCCAGGGCCCACGTAGCCACAGCCCTGGACAGCCTGGCACCCTCTCAGAGCAACTCGCTGGGCGTGAAACAACATTTCATTTCAAGGTGGGCTCAGTTCACCCCAGCTCACCCAGACCCAGCCTCATAAAACACTGGCCAGGCTGTGCCCAGGTTAATGAGTAACTCCCACCTCTCCACAGTCTGGGAGAGACGTGAGTCAGGAGACCCTGCTGGTGCCCGCCGTGCCTGGAATCCCCAGGCACCAATTGGCAGCCCCCTGAGAGCTGGATCCCCTGTCCCAGCCCCCCGATCTGGCCATGGGGCCACTCGGCTCTCAGGCTTCTGCCATGTTTATGAATCCCGCTGATGGATGGAGCAAGACGTGTAAACAACAGACAGCTCCACTGAGCGCTGCTGCCGCCGTGGGCAGGAAGGGCAGCATGGTGCATGCCCTTGGCTGGACACCCATGACTCGGACCCAGGCCCAGAGCCCTCAAGGGACAGGAGCCGAGAGCCCCAGAGAGAGGAACGGGATCCGGGTCCCCCACCCACCAGCACAGCTCTCGGCCTAGCTCCTCCCAGTTGCCTGCACTTCGGCTTCCCCGTCTTTTAAAGTCACCCGTGCGGTGATTAGCTCAGGACGGAACAGGTCAAGCCCTCGATATGTGAGAACTGCTGTGAGAGGCATTTTTGTCTTGATACCCCATTACACTGACTTGATTATGTTTTACAGTTATAGCTTTGTATTTGTTACATATATAATTTATGTGCCTTTTGTTCCCATTTTTAACATATTTCCGTTTTACAACTGGGATCATTTTCTTCTTTCAGAATCCAGGTGATAGACCTAAAGGCTTCTGGTGTACAGAATTACTCACTGAAACTCAGGCTAGAAGCAATATTTAGATGCTTTGACCCAAATAACTAAAACCCAACTTGAGGTTGTTCAAGACTAACGAAGGCAACCTGTCCCACAGAACCAGAAGACTGTCAGGACAGCTTCAGGGCTGGCTGATTCAGCAGCTCAGAGACGTGTCCAGGGCACAGGCTTGTTCTCATCTCCTCCTCTGGGGCCTCGGCAAGCTGCCCCATCCTCGATCAGGTCCCTTATGGTGGCATAGAAGCTGCCATGGTTCCAGGATTCACCACATGCCACCCCAACACCATTGACAGAAGAAGAGAACCTACTTCCTCCTGCAAGTTTCTCCTCGTCAATGAGAAACCCTCCCGGAACCCCCCCTCACTCCTCATTAGCCAGAGCAGGTCTCGTGTTCACCCTAAACCAATTGCTGGGAGAGGGGATGGGACCTATGTGATTGGATTTACCCTGCTCTGGGGAGGGGGCTGAGGATTGGGGTTCTGTGGGCAAGAAAGAGGCAGGGATAGGTCTGGGCGGGCCACCATGGGGCGAGCTATGCTGACCGTTCACCTAATTTGTCACCACCTTGTCATTTATCGTACTGCCTGGATGCAAAGACATGTTTTTCCACACCTTATCATCTATGGACCGAGAAGCATCTTGCAATCAGTGTTGTCTCAAAGCATTTCCTGGTGGCACAGAAAGCAACGGTGTATCTTATAACCGATGGCACATTGGATGAGATAAGATACATTACCATGTGGAGAGATTGTTTTTTTCAATTGGGAGCATCCTCATCCTTCACACATCTTGATATGAAAGAATGTACAACACGAGCAACTTCAGGCCTGACTGCCTGAAGCTCTGGACAGATTTGCTTTTCAAACCTCTTGTCTTCTCCTCCAGCCCAGCCGGGAAGGGATCCACCATGCCCGGGCAGCTGCACCCCAGGCTTCCACACGTCCCCTTCCAGAGCCCCTATGTGTGGTGGTGGTGATGGAGAGACATCGCTTTCTACATTCCACAGAAGGAAACCTGGAGAGGTTAAGCGACTTGGCCAAGGCCACACAGAGGTGGGGCTGGCCGGAGTCCCACTGTCTCCCACAAGGAGATGATGTTGGTCCCACACTCACCGCACCTTCATCGGCACCTGAAGGCTCCTGACCACCTGTGGCAGAAGGCCAGCCTCACCTGACACGTGTTCACACGACCTGTTGCTGAAGAGGAATGCTGCAGTGATTCAGCAGAGTGTGGAGCAGAGGAAGCAGCCCAGGTGGCGTGGACATGCAATGAGGCCGGCCCGTCCGCAGTGCACTCCCGGTGCCACTCGTCCAGGCGGCTCAGTGGCCTCCCTCCAACTTGTTCCTGCAGCCCTGCTGGTCCCTACAAAAGCTCCTCTCCAGAACACAGCTGCTCTCGGCTCATACTGTTGGCCAGCTCAGCCCCTTCCAGGCACCTCTATCTCCTCTGGGAGCTCCCCCGGGGCAGCAGGGACACTCTGCTCCTGGCTGCCTCCAAGCACCCAGAAGCCCCCAACCCACCCCGTATCCTGTGGCCTTTGTAGGAACCACCAGCCAGCCTCTCACAGAGCACACTGCTCTGGGGGTCATTCATTCATTCATTCCACAAAGATCTACTGAACACCTACTATGTGCTACAGAGGGGATCTCTGGAAACTGACCTCTCGGAGGCACACGAGTGGCCAGCAAAGCAAAATGCCTGCTCCCCCACCCCATTGCTCACTGAGCAGTTTCACCAAGTCTGGCTGCAAAGTGAGTTTGCCTTAAATGAATGGAACTTTCCCACAGTGTCCATCGTATAACGAGAAGGATACTTGGGAATGCACGAGAATGCAGTCAAGTCTTTCTAAATACTATTTTTAAAGAAAGAATAAAACGTTGTCAATAATATGGAACGACCTTCCGAAAAGGAGTCATTTCGCTTTTGAAATCTGTATTTTTTGGAGTCGTTGCCGAGATGTCCTGCACCGGCCCCACCCGGTGAGGGAGAGGCAAACGTTCCACGAGGCACTCATGTTCCTCCTTGCGAGGAAAGGGCTGCCGCACCTGCCGAGGCTACAGAAAAATGCTCAGACTGCCTTAGTTCCAGAGACGATTCCCCCTCCCAGCCTCAAAGCACGCCAACCCTCCTGTCTTTCCGGCTAAGTCAATCCTTTTACCTTCTCCAAATACACCCCAGCATGGCTGCGTCTTCGGCTCAGACAGACATGTTCTGGGGCCAGAGGGGGAAGATGTTGTATCTGCCCCCAGGGTGGGTAAGGCCAGGTCATCTCAGACACAGGAGCCTCCCCCAACCCCCAAGACACTGAAGGGACTTAGTGCAAAACCAGAAAATTTGCATGAACTAAAAGTAGCCCCTTGCCCTCCCTGCAATGGACCACCACCACTGACCCCCCGTTGCCCCACCCCCGCTGCCTGGCCTACCCCCGGGCCCTTGGCTGCTGCAGCTGCAGTGTTTCCAACTAGAGTTGATGAGGGAGCCAGGAGGGAGGGGTGGTGGTCTACCCAGTTAGGGGTAGATGGGCATGTGACTGATTCCCTACTCCTCATCTTCCTGTCTCCACCAGGGATCAGCAGCCCCAGGAGGGAAGGGAGCAGGGCCTTTGGAGTCCTGCAGACCTGGGTTCAAATCCCAGCTCTGCTACTTATCTTAGTCAACCCATCTCACCTCTCCAAGCCTCAGTTTCCTCATCTGTAAGAATCTCCCAAACAAGATGACTATGAGAATGAAATGCACATAAAGCATCCACATGGTAAGTACTCGATAAACACAAACAATAAGGAATACCGCTAGCTGTCCGCCAGAGTCCATTCTCCCTTCCTTCTGTGGTGGTGGCATTGT